CCGGACCAATACCCTTCCAAGAGATCCTGACAGGAGGGCCCTCGTGGCACAAATCCATCCGAGCAAGCAAGGCAGCCAGGGCCATCGCAGGCCTTACACAAGGCAGCGCTGCCGCTCTCCCTGCCACTGTGGAGGATACGTGGCATACCAGTACGGTGTGGTCCGACTGCCCCAAGTTTGATCCCATCTCCGAGGATCTCTCGATCCATGATCCCCTCATGCGCCTCCAGGTGGCCTTCAAGACCAGACCACTCCGTGACGGGGGGGGGGCAAACCATCCTGGGGCCGGATGGCCCCCCTGGGCTGGGGGCCAAGATCCTTGCACTGACCACTCCGTTCACCGACCAAGTCATGTGGTCGATTACGTGCGGGTCCAAGCAACACCCGTACCCAGACCCACTGCTAAAGGACATCAGACAGATCCTCCATCCTGGCCACCAACACACTACACCAGACGGGCAGCCCTTCTACCTGCAAGTGATCTCGCCGGGGACCCAGATTGGCAGTACCCTCAGATCCTTGCCACGGGCGTTCTTCTGGGGTCTCGGTTCCCACCCTCCCTCCCTGGGAGTGTGGCCCCTCAAGAGCGAACTCGCGGGAGAAGACCCAGTGGAAGCACCACTGGATGACCCCAAAGCACATCACAATTACCCATCGGCGGCAGACTTCTCCAAAGAGATCCGGGCTACCTTCGCAGACAAGGTCCCACGGGACAAGGTCCGTACCATCTACGATGGATCGGTCGGGGGAGCGAATGCCAAGATCCAACAAAACACTAAGGAGCGGACCACGGCGCCTACAGTCCTGGATTGTGTCCATGCCATCCATTGGCTTCATGCCGCCAGACATACTGAGGCCGGAGCACGCCCGGCCTAGTCCAGGCCCTGCACGGGCAGGGGACCCGGATGGATCCTGCTGAAGGCCGATGTGACTAAGGCCCACCGACGAATCAAGGTCCTGCCCCAAGACTGGCGCTTCCAGGTAGCACAGTTGGAGGACGAATGGTGGGTCAACAAAGTGGAGTGGGTACCTACAGCATGGCGAGTGCGCAGCTCTACTGGGGCAGAATGGCGGCCTTGCTCCTACGGATCCTCTACTACCTCTTTCCCCAGATCGATTGGGGTTTTGTCTTCGTCGATGATTTCTGCCCACCGGACCGCAATTCACCGCGGCTCTCTTGGGCACATTAGTGGCGTTGGGAACTCCCCTCAGCTGGAAGAAGACTCACCTTGGCAGAGATCAATACCTGGCTCGGGTTCGGCAGCCCCAAAGCACATCAAGGTCATGGAGCTCCTGGAGGAACTTGCCAACGGATCCCCCATGTCAGCAAAAGCCATTGAGAAGGCAATGGGGCGGATCCAATGGGCAACAGCATGCTGCCCCCTGACCAAGTCCATGCTCCAGCCACCCTGGGCTTGGAAGATGGCGGTCAGGACCATCGTATGCTGGCTTAGCTCTTCACGCATCCCTTCGAACAATACTCACCCTTCTTGCCGAAGTCTCCTTGGTAGGGATGCAGCGACGCCAGTGCATGAAGGACTGGTGAAGCCTATGTTGGGGCTGGTGTTCGGCCTCCCCGAACCCCACCAAGGACACGGTCCTATGGTTTCACTATGCCATCACAGCGGACGCCCATCCTTGGGCATTCAAGGATGGCAACCCTCAGAAGCGCGTAGCTGCCCTGGGACTCCTGGGCACCCTACTTCTCTGCAAGCATCTGGTGGCCCAACAGGGCCAGCTTCCGGGACGAGTTCGCCTCCCGGTTGCAGCGACAACTCAGGCAACATCTTCAGCCTGCTCAACCTCTCGGCCAAGAAACCTTACTCGGCCGCGCTGCTGATGGAACTGGTTCTCTTCCTTCATTGTGAGGGCTGTAGCATTGCCCCTAATCACGTCCCCAGGGAATACAATACCTGGGCGGACGAACTGACTCATCCGGACTTTGAAGGGTTCTCCTTAGATTGCCGGCTACCGGCCCCGGAGACTCTCTTCGTTTTTCCTTTTGCCACAAGACTTTTGTCCTCGACGGGATTTTCCTAGGTGCCCACCCAAAATCCCGTGACCGGATCCGGTGGGCTGTCCTCCCGACCCTGTCCCCTGGCACCTCGACAGGTGCCCATTGGCCCTGGGAGGACCTGTCCCCCCTGGCGAAGCCCAGGGCATTTTGAAACTGACCAAGAGATACAGGGTCTGGGGGAGGACCCCAGCATCAACCAAAGCGCATTGGAAAAAGCCTGCGTGCAGCTTTTTGCGCTCTTGGGATCTTTTTGACTTCTGGGTATATACATATATATAAATATTACACTGGAAAATTGTACAAAGAAGCCAACTAAGCACAAACCGCGGACCAACGCAAGAACACAAAGAAGTTTCCAAACAACGCTAGACTGCCGAAACAATTGAGAAGCTCAATGAGAACCCACGCGTATAGTCCGAACAAGTGTTTGTAGAGGGCAGTCAAAAATCTAAAGCGACAATTCACCCCACAACACGCTCATATCATTAGCTTGCATGGGGCACGGGTCCGTACACTGTAACAGAAAGAGCGCAAACTCTCACCGAAGATCTTGAAACGAAACACTGGAAACAACGATTCTGAAGTTTGCATGCCTGACAGCTGGCATTTGTGACGACAAGCATGCGGATGAAGAAGGCCCTTTTGAATCGTAGACTGGAATCGGCATTAAAGGCCGCCAAGAATCATAGACAGCATGGACCAGATGAACTTGGAAAATCAACCCCCCACGTCATATATTTGATCGGCAGAATCCCAGACTAGTCTGAGTCAACAGATTCTTTTGAATTTAGCCCTCCTTGATTGAGAGAGGGCATTAAGATTTGTGCATGAAAACAGCATTCAGCTCGCACTGAAGTTGCCGAAGGTTGCTACAAAGAATTGACTTTCTTTTTGTGCCAAAAAGCAAGCAACGGGAATCAGACAGGGCTGCCCTTTATCCCCATATCTCTTCATTATTGTTATGTTGTGTATTGACTTCGATGTATGAGCTAGGTGCAAATGGGACTTGATCTGTGTCAAATGGGAGGATCCTGGGACTTGATTTAAGGGCTTACGCCCGACAGCCGGCCAGGGCCCCAAGCAAAGGGGAGGGGGCAGGGAAAAAGGGCACTGGGGCGTTGTTGTTGTTGTTGTTGTTGTTGGTGGTGGTGGTGGTGGTGCTTGTGGTTGTGGTTGTTGTTGTTGATGATGTTGTTGTTGTTGTTGTAGTGTTGTGGTTGTGGTTGTGGTTGTGGTTGTGGTTGGTGTCTGTGTTGTTGTTGTTGTTGTTGTTGTTGTTGTTGTTGTTGTTGTTGTTGGTGTTGCTGTTGTTGTTGTTGTGGTTGTGGTGGTGGTGGCTGTGGATGTGGACGTGGGTGTTGTGGGGATGGTTGTGGGGATGGTTGTTGTTGGTGTTGTTAGCCCAGCAGCCGCCCACGATGCCGACGAAGCACCCCGGTGAGGCACGCATTTCCAGCATTATTGGGGCCTATGTTGGGCCTATATTGATCCATGTTGACCCATCTTGAGCCCCAAGAGCGGAAAAATGGAAGAAGCAGAAAACACTGTAAAACACAGCATTCCTGGGGGGTCGGCGGCGAGGGGCGGTCAGCCCTCTCTCCTTCGGAGAGGAGAGACTGCCTACGGCAAAGACACGGCCATGGCGGGGCCCCGTGGGCCCCTGGCCGGATTTTGACATGACGCCCTATGCCGATGACACCGTCTTATCCTCCACAGACAACAGGGATCTTAATGAATTACTATGTTTGACGGAAGTGATCTCCGGCAAATGTGGTCTACCCTTAAGCAAGGATAAATGATGATAAATGTGTGACAAGCCAAGTGAGTAATGATGGCCTGACCCCTTTTGAAACTCAAGAACCTCTCCAAGACCGATTTGAGACCACCTGCAACGACATCAACAAAGAAACCAACATTTGGCGCGGAATCTTAAACATTTGCTAGAAGTAAGTAAGAATGTCATGGCGCCGACTACTAAAATATTGGATATCGACTCATGCAAATTCGAGATGGAAACTCCTGATTTTGTCAGACGGAAAGTTACTTGTGGATTAGAACCGGTCCATCTCACACAAGCCATGATGAAGAAAGTCGACTCATTGCCTCAAACAAATTCTCAAAATAGGACCGACATTCATAGATATTATGGAAGTAATGCAAATACGGCAGTTCTTCAACAATGTAGAGATATTGTACACAAGACCACCATCTCTTCAGCGAATCCTATCTTCACCATACAATGAAATGACTTAGGCATGTGCTAAGAACCAGCGATGATGATCCATTAAGGCAAGTTTCCTTTGAGCCAACAACAGCGAACAGAGTGAACTATGGTAAACGATTGTGTGGTCGTCCCAGGCAAAACTGGCTGAATTATGCAAAGAAAAACCGCTCTGGCTGGTCATGCGTGGAGACGACTATACAGGTCTCCGTATTTGTAATGCAGCCGTGAACCGAGATTTCTTTTTTCGTTCGTCCTCGGCTATGCCAAGACCTTGCTTCTCTTGACGTTGCCTGATTGCCGGATATGGCCGTGAAAAATCCAAAGATGCAGTGAGAGAGAGGGAGAGTTATACAACAAAACAATTGAGTTCATGAAACACACATGAGGACTCGACACAGAAACGAGGACGAAGCGCGTGACATGGTGACGTTGATGATCCAACGGAACATCATGGTCGCCCCAACCAACCTCCTCACTCAACTGAACGTAATCACTCAATACAGGTCTTCTTGATGAGCATTACAGATCATTAGTCATTACAGGTTCAATAAAAACAACGTCAGATAAGAAGAATGTCAACTAATTAAACACCCAAATCGCGAGGTCCCATATTTGCGCCGACACCCCAAAAAGAACAAATTAACCAACTAGTAACCAGACTAGATTTGTGGATCTCTTTTGTTCTCCCTGTCTCTTCTTCCTTTTCTTTTCCTTCTGTCCTTCTCCCTTTACGTTGCGCTAGCTGCAGCAATTGGATCAGGCCACTGACACTCGTGGACGCTCGCGGAATCTGGTGAAGACCTTGCTGGAATCAGCGGCGCCCACGGGCGATTTGGGCTTCAATGTGGAGGCCGCTGGGTCTGATGAGGTGATTAAGAGCCATAGCCCTGGGAATCGTTGAGGGGACATGGGATTCCCTTGTTAGTTTAGTAAAGCATTTGGATTAGTGTTCTGGATTTGCAACCTTGGGTAGCGCGATTTGAAACCGAAAAGCGGACTCAGGTTGAAACCACTTGCTCAGCCTGTGGCTATGACGTACTTCCCGTTGCTATTTCTAAGTGGTCGGTTTCCAGATTACTTGGAAAGTTCACGCGTTTCATGAGCACATGGATGACATGTCGCGCCGGTTGACCGCAGTTCGAACTTGAGCTAGCCCCTTCGCTGAAAAGGTTGCGTCCTTTTCATGTTGTTTTGCACCTGGTTCTTTTCGCACGTACCATGGTGAGTTGGTAGCGGGGCCGCTTTCTGCCGGCGTCGCAGTTCGATGATCGCGATTCGCTGGAGGTGGGTGACGTTGAGCGGTTGTATTCCCAGGTGTTTGAGGATGATGACAATACAGATGTTCCATTGCGGCTTACCTCTCCTCCGCCTGCTGTTCCGGCGTCGAACAAGCCGCTGAAGTTGAGTCTGAGGGAAAGCCATGAGGGACCTGTTTACGTTGCTCCTCCACTCGCTCGACGTGGTCCGTTGTGCGTGGGCGGTGGTCACGCTTGGATTGTGGGTCTTCAAGAGTTTTATGATGCCCCTGAGGCCTTTCAAAAATCTACAGAGCATGGTCTTTGGGTCTACATGCCCCATGGTGGTCCACCAGCCCCACGCCGGTCGACGAGCGCCAGTGAGAACCCATGTTGGTGACGACCCTCATGAGGCCCCTGTTGAAGCTTCAGAGCAACCAGAAAGTGAGGCACCCACCAATGACCCCTCGGTGGATCCTGACACCTTACAGGTTTTGCCTAGGAGGCGAAGACGCCGTTGTCGAGCAGTTGTTGAGCAGCCCTCCAGTACTAAAAAGAAGTTGCAGCTCCGCCCACTGGCAGGCGACCTTTCGCAGTTCCTTCGATGGCGCAGCACGAGCCCAATACAGTTGAGCCTAGGAACTGGATCCTCGAGGCCCTTCGACAGTTGCTGGATGAACGGAGGCAGAAACGTTCACCTGGCAGTGACACAGCTTCTTGGAACAGTCGGCGCGGCCCAGAGAAGCATGTGAAGTGGCATGCCGGGGCCGCACCAGTTCCGCCACAGTGGAAGCCACAGCAAAACGACCTTCGTGGCTTCGCTCACTGGGAGCGCCGCATATATAGAGATTTGGCGTTTAGCAAGTCGGTCCATACATGCCGCCGCAGGATGCTGCATTGATGTTGTTGACATCCCTCACGGGCGAAGCAGAGTTGGAAGTTGAGCACCTCGATTTGAAGCGTGTTCATGACCGCAATGGGGTACAATACCTTTTGGATACCCTTCGTCAGCCGTTGCAACAGAAGCAGTTGTTTCAGAAACGTACATTGTTGGATTCATTTGAGAAGTCGTCCAGGTTTCCCAATGAGAGCCTTCGGCAGTACATCGACAGGTACAGCCGTGTTGAGAAAGACCTGGAAGCAATCGGCATGTCGAGCTCAACATCTACGACAGTGAGAGCAAAGGCAACCGCTTGCTGGAACGAGCTCGCTTGGCACTTGACCTCCAACGTTTGGTCAGCGGATTCAGGAGGCTTTTGCTGTGCAGTTTCCTGACTTCAAGCCACCAACAGCAGTGTCAGAAGGAGCGTGAACATGTGATTCGAGCACCGTCGCATGGCAAGGGCTCCTACAGTTTAAGTTCTTTGACAGCAGCTTCAACATCATGATCCTCATCCAGTTCACGGCCTTCGCCCAAAGGGTTTGGCAAGTCGCAATATCCCAAACGCGCATTTGTTGCAGAACAGGTTGATGACCTTGGTGACATTCCAGAACAACCGGAATGGACATTGAAGCAGATGACAACTTGTCAACCGTGTCTACGAAGCTGAAGAAGAGTTCACAGAGGCTGTCGATAACGACAGTACAGAGGAAGCGCCGGAATCCGAGATACAGGATACAGTTGCGCAGCTTGCTGATGTGTTGACGGATACTTCGAAGAAGTTGCAGAGCATGAGCGCCGTGCTTGGTCGAAAGTTTTCTGGCCGTCCTTGAACAATCGAGGAAATGAAGCGCGCATCGACATGCAGCGCTTGTGGCAAGCTAGGTCACTGGCATGGTGACCCCAGTTGTCCGCAGAGCAGATCATCCTCACAAGGCCACGATTCCAAAGGCCGTGGAAAGCACTCGACTGATTTAAAAGGTCAGCGCAGCAGCTCCAACAGCAGCACACAATATGCAAAGCAGGCATTCATGGTGCTTTTCCCGGAAATGGATGAAGAGAAGACCTTGGAGAACACCTCCTTCTTTAGCTACACCGCCTTCCTTCTGGGCGACCACGCGTGTTCCACCTGTAGGTATATGTGACTGAGTTGATCGACTTTTCGGGCACCATGATTTTGGACTCGGCATGTCCAGGGCTTGTTGCTTGTTGCGGACGTGTTTCTCAGGGGGAGTTTTGTTGAGAGTTTGGATGCAGATGTTCCTTTCCTTGCAAGCAACACCAGAGTTTGGTTTCATTTGCTGTGCTTGGTGTGACACTCCCACTTGAGTTTGAGCACGGACATAGGGCAGTGAACATTTGTTGTTTGCCACCTCGTGTTTGTCAGCGTGCATGTTGGAAAGAGTTGAGCAAAGATTCGATTTGGCCTGCGCCGGATCCAGAAGTAATTTTGTCGGAAGCCTTTTTGGAGCGAGACGCGCTCGGAGTTCAGGAGGTATGGAAATCGGACAGGGAGCTACGCTCAGTGCAAGCGATGTCAGGCAAAGTTCCAATGAGCAAATGCTCCCCGTCTTTGGCCGCTGGAAGTGACAAAGCGCTTGTTGAAAGCTGGCTATACACGCCACACACAACACCGCCAGCTTTTCTACTACTTCCAGAAGCCTCCAGGCGGTACAGAGGAAGACTAAGTGTTGAAGTGTTGGTGAGCGTCCTCATGGTGTACGTCGACGACTTTTTGCTTGCCCACGATGATAGGTATGACCGTGAGCGTGTTCTGAGTCTTTTCACCTGGGGCTCAAAGACCGAGCTCAAGACAGAAGAGAGCATTTGTCTCAAGGGAAAACAAATCCACTTGAAGTTCGACCGCCAAAAGAATGTGTACTTTTTGAGTTTGCTGCAGACAGCTTTCATCGAGAGCATGCGTGGCCCTCAGACGAAGATCCCGAAGAGCAAGTTCGATCAGGAACTGGCCACCGAAGACCTTTTGGAGATGCGCTCGGTAGCGGGCAGTTTGCAGTGGGTCTCAGGCCAACTGAGGCCGGACGTTGCCATTGTTTCTTTGAGCTCCCGAGCTCAGAAGACCAAGTACAGTGACTTGGCAGCCATGTTTGAAGCTGTCGCACACCTTCAAAGTACAAAGCATTTGGGCCTGAACTTGTTCCTGGTGACTTTGAATGAGACCATCCATTTGCTGACCTTCTCGGATTCGAGCTGGGCAAATGCCGAATCCTTTGCTTCGCAGTGCGGCTGCCTGACCTTGTTGGCAGAGCCTTCGATCGTTGAGAGGACCGGGAGTGCACTCCTCTTTGACTTTAAGTCATCCCGGGACCCTCGCATCTGCCGTAGCACTTTGGCAGCGGAGGCATCGGCAGCTGACGTGTTCGTTGACAGGACTTCGTTTTTGAATCGCATGATTTGCGAGATGTTCCAACGGACGCCCACCTGCTTCGAAGCTTGCGCATCACAGATTGTCGTTCTCTTTATGATTGCATCTGCTCAGAGAACCCCATCACTGAAGAAAAGAGAACGATAATCTCGATTCGCAGCACTCAGCAGGAAGTGACACGTGAAGGCTGTCGTCGGGTACCAACCCATTTGATGTTCGCCGATGGGTTCACTAAGATCTCGCACCAGCTGATGACCTCCTTTGTTGGCAAGGCCCATGGATTCAGCTTCGCGAGACGACACGTCATCCAACAGAGAAACACCAGTTGAAAAGTTCACGCATTTCATGAGCACATGGATGACATGTCGCGCCGGTTGACCGCAGTTCGAACTCGAGCTAGCCCCTTCGCTGAAAAGGTTGCGTCCTTTTCATATTGTTTTGCACCTGGTTCTTTTTCGCACGTACCATGAACCATGGTGAGAATTACTATTTTTGTGTCAAACCCCGCAAAGTAGGATTCCAAAGTCTTAAACACAGTGAGCAAAAAAACAACAATTTGCAACTTTCATGCAGATTGGGCATGTCAAGATCAAGTTCAACGAGGGGGGGTTGTCAATATTTGCCAAGTTTGGCTACATTATGCAAGTGGGAGTCCTGCAGAGCAAGAAGGAGGATTTTGTTTTCTTTTACCAGTCAGAATTGAGTTGCAAAATTCCATGTTGATTAGCAAAAAATAGCAAACCAACATTTAGCCTACCATCCCGAGGCACCTGAAGGGGGATATCAAAGACTGTGAGAGTGTCGGTAAAGTTTGCGTTTTTTTGTTTGCCACACTGGCTTTGGATTGGCTGGCAACCCTACCAGTAAATCTGAAGTGGGATGTCAACAACTGTGGGGTGTTGATAGGCTATAGGGGTTGCTATTTTTGGCTAGTCACTTAGGCTTCCCAAGGGGAATCTTAGTTCGCGATCTGAATAGTGTATTCTCACCTTTACACAAATGAGCAGTAATGAACACGTTCCTGGGACAAACCTAGATGTTCTCTACTGGCTGAGCCCGAGTTGGCTCCGTTGCTCTGGGACAATTTCTTGCGATGACCCCAACCGTTTCTAGTCAGATTACGAAGCATTGCTACTAATGTTTTTTATTCCATTTTGGTTCTCAAGCATTCCCAAGCATTCTTACGACTCACAAGAGTAATGGGAGTGCGAGATGCTGAAAGATGATTGCAATGATGTTTCTTTTTTTTTGAGTGATTTGGATTTGGAATGAGGTAAATATCCCGGTGGACACTGACACCTTGGCAGAGCGGGCCCTGGATGAAAGCACTTCCTCTCCTGATGCTGCATCTAATTACCTGAGTCTGACACACTAGTATAGCCGGTATAGCTGAGGTCATTCAACTGCAAAGGCCTACAATGCATGTTCTTCCACAATTGGCATCTTGGCACAAGCTACCAGAATGTGGTTCTGCGGCAACCTGTCCGTTTCCGAGGTGATGGATCTCGTGACTGTCGGATTGTCATCTTGGCAGTCGGTTCCCTAGCGCATTCTTGCACCGAGAGAGAGAGAGAGAACGGCATTCGCAAGGCATTGCACTTTCCGCAATGACCGTGTCCAGGCGGAGCGGAGGGAAGTTGCTTCTCATGATCAATTTTTGAAAATATATCACGGTATATATATATACTGTATATATATGTAATGGCTTCCTCAGGTGATGTTGGCACCACCCGAGCCTCAAAGGCAAGGACTTGTTGACGTATGTTGACGTTCCACGGTGCTTTCGACACAGCGGACAAATGTGCCAGGGGTTATCCAGCACCTCCCAGACAGCGGCTCAGTGATGTTTTTCGTTTTTGGCTGAAAGGTGGGTAATTAAGTGAAGAGGGGAAGCAGCCTTGCAGCTTGCAGCTGGCGTATGCGTCGTATGCGTCGTGCGAGATTTGATTAGTTTCTCCAACAGCCGGCCCACCTCAGTCGCTGCCTGTCGGACTGTGTGAGGCAAGCCGCCAGTGGATGAGCGCGGCACCCGCGTCCAGGTGGGGAACACTTCTTCGCCAGCGGCGCAGCAAGTGCTCGCCACTCACTGTGGCCACCTCCCAGGTGAACTTTTTGGATGGTTGCTTTCGCATTGCCGAGAGGTCGCACGCCTGCAACGCAATTCCTTTTTGGCGGTCGATTTCGAGGGACCGGGACGAAAGGAGGATGTCATGAGACTGAGATGTCATGATGTACTTCCCCAGCAATTGTGGTGTTTGGGTTCTTCCCGAAGCTAGGTGGGCTGAGCCGAGCGAGCACTTCGAGTTTGCCGGCAGCGTGATGATCCATATCATCGTGCATGCAGAGGCTTCTGCAACTTCCGAGGTGTTATTTATAGGTGCTTAAGGACAATCAAGCCTCTCAGAAGATTCACGCACAAAGCATTAGTGAAGAATGTGAAAAGGGAGACGTATAAATATATATCGCAATAATTCTCAACAATGCCAAAGAGACGTTGAACATGCATGTTTGACCTTGCCACTATCCAGACCACCCAGAAATGCGGTTGATCGCCGTCACAGCGGTTTTTGCCTTCCTGTTTTGCCAGGGCATTCGAATTGAGCGCTTTGATCTCGAGAGGGGTGCGCTGCGGCTGCATTCCTCCAGGCGGTGCATTCCTCCACGTCACTTGTTTTGGTGTGTGTGTGTGCTACGTCAGAGGCGAAATCCAACCACCTTGTGTCCATGCCCGGCCGTCAGAGTGTGGAAGAGTGCTTTGTGTGACTTATGCCAAATGCGCTACCATGCGCTACCATTGGCATGACTCCTCCCTACACCAGAACTGCACACCTCGCGTGTTGCACCTCGCTCGGTCGAAAGGTCTGGAGTGGTTGGTCCGCGGCGACCAGAAGCGTGTGGACGACGGGCACCGCCGGAAGCCAGCGCTCTCAGTGCCGATCAATGGAGTCCACCCCATTCCTAGTAGCTTCTTCCTAGTAGTGATGGCTTCCAACTGATAGGTGAAAAGGAGACAACTGGACCTGCCATTTCTTGAGCCACACTTGTTTTCATCCGGATGCAGACAAGCAGTTTCATGCACGATGCAGCCACCTCTCCGGCTTTTTACGGACATGGGGCACATGCAAGGCTTCTAGTTTCTTTGTATCGAACAGCACCAAGTGGATTCCAGGCGACACACCACCTACGAGCTGCGTTCGGTCATCGTCCCGTCGAGCGCCCCAGAAAATGTGTCCTGTTTGTAAGTTTCTGCTATTTTCCCGTTGCTCTATCCATACTATCATATACAGTATATATATATATATTTATAAATACATACATACGCTAAGCAAAGCAAACATGCATCACGAAGATGCATTCTTAATCCCTTTTAGATCTATTTAGCCGCTTTTGCACGTAGTACTCGGCTGCTCGAGTATTTGGAGCCTTTTTTGATGCCTGCGGAACCGGGTGGTCTTCCGGTTACTGCCTCGATCCAAGGCCGTATTCCATTCGGATGTCCGCCCGAGACCACCGTGCGATGGCCAATGCCTTGCTGGAGCTTTTGACCATGGATGCGGAGGCCTGTCCAGCTGTCAGGATCGATCCCACGGGGCAGGACCATGAGGGGGACATCCATGCGGAGCCCATCAGCCCATCCCTGCCGTCTCATCTGCACGTCGAACACGTCTCCGCGCCCCGCCCCGGTGGACACCGCAGTCCGCGGAGCCGCCGTCGGAGATCCGCAGCCGGGGAGCTGGAGATCCGCAGATGTGAGAATGGACGGAGGGGAGGATGTTACTCCACACAAGACATGAGTTTTCCTTCTAACAGAATCTAACAATATCTAGGATGTTTAAACTGGAAAGGCACCTGGCAAAGCTTTGGGCGGTGCTGTATACAGTTGACATGTTTTTTTCTCCTAAAGTGGTCTGAACATAGAGGTTGGCCTACTCTTTTCAAAAACCAGAGAACATGCACGCAACAAAATCGTTAGGCAGATGGATTTTCGTCGGCACCAGGACCAGGCTGTTGAACCTGAGTTTCTCCTCGATTTCCTTCTTGGGTGACCCACTGACTGCCCCCTTTCTTCGCGACCACAAGCGAGGTCGCGACCCCTTGGCGCTGCAACTGGTCGAGAATCGGCTCACCTTGATCGCGGAAGTGGCCCTTGAGGGAGCTGAGGCGCTTCGTGGGAAGAATCGGTGGATCTCAGCTCCCCATGGGAAGAAAACCGTTTGGGTGTGAGAATTGAGGGGTGTGTGGTGTGGCCTCAGATTTGGGGCCGGGAAGTCCTGCTTTGCCATCCTGGGCAGAGTTGTGATAGGTAGTTGCGCTCCAAGGGAAACGTGGGCACTGGTGTTGATGGCCCCTTCAAGGCCCCCGGCACATCATTTGGTGGGGCTTCTGCTCTAGGCCTTGCTGTCGTGGCTGGTCTTCTTGGAGGAAAGCCATGAGTGAGTGAGTGAGTGAGTGGGTGGGTGGGTGTGTGGGTGGGTGAGTGAGTGAGTCTAATAGCTGTTAATGTTTTTCAACTTTCCATCAAGCTAAGCTACCTCAAAAGCCAGCGGGTCTCCGTGCAGCGGGTCGAGGAAGCTAATTTTGTGTGACCCGGTCGCCCTTTCCTTCCGAGGTGCAAGTGATGGGTGAGGAAGGCGGACATGAATGGAAGTGACCTCAGCTGACGCAGACGTGACACCTGCTGTGAGGAAGCGACATGCTCAAACACTTTGGAAGTGAAACTGACCAACTTACCAAATGTCCATACATGCCTACCCAAACCCTTTGACACAAAAGACCTTCCCTACCCAAACCCTTTGCGTTTGTCAATGACACCCACAAGGCACGCCACCCATCAACATTCCTTCCATGCAGCGACACCAGATATTGATTGAACGGTTTTCCTTTGCCCCGGGTTTCCCAACCATATTTGACAAAGTCCTTGTTGTGACATTATCTGCAAGAAAATAATCAACTATTGCCCAAAATCAACCTGTAAAGGGGCTCATACATTCAGGATCTCTTCCGTAAATCTAGGGATTTCTTCCTTCCTTGCCTTTGGAACTCGCTGAGATTTCTTTCTCAATTCGTTCAATCTGTTGGTACTTCGTTTTTCTTCTTTGTGGCGAAGGAATCGTCCAATGCAACAACTCCGAGTTGGAAGTTCAAATGTTACAGGGAACATGCCAATGTGAGGCCTTTGTACAGAAGTTAAAGTAGGTAAACATATAAAGCAGTAAGCAACCATACCAACCTATACCAGCCTGAGGCGCCTTTTGCGGGCCAATTGGAATGGCTTTCAATTCTGCGGTCCTTAAAGAACGCATGACTCCCTTTCATTTCTTCCAGCAAGTGTCAATTCCCAATTCCTGCTTCCGTTAATGCGTCCCAAACAATCCTTGGCCAATACCAACAACTAGTGGCGGTTGAACTTGATTTAGTGACATACATGGGAGGTAAACAGTTTGTTCATTGGTGGACTCTACTTTGCAGAGATTTATTTTCAACTGGGCCATTAGGATTGTCGATTCTTTGAGGGTTGGGAGATGGGCCATGGAGATGGGCCTTTTGCTTTTTCTCGGCCTTGGGAAACGGTGTTTGTGAGGCCCGGAATTTGTGGCAACGCTCGGTGTCAATTGCTGGAGGTGACGGTGCTGGCCTTGGAGCATTTGGCGCATGAACATTTGTCTCTCTGTCTCTCTCTCTCTCTTTTTATTTTGGATGGTGGCGCAAAGAAACCCACAACAGGGAACCTGGGGAGGAACCTGCACGAACAATTGTTGGACACACATTCAATTCCAACAGTTCGATGCAACCCACGGCCGGAAAAAAGACATGTGTTGAGTTTCCAACATGTTGTTTTGATGCATGAATTGGGGTCCGTATACAAGTGCGGCGATGATGCTTGGAGTGATGTATTGTAGACTCTTGATTAAGAACGGCTTTTGATATGAAGAGGTTTTCAATCTAAAGATATGTTTATTCGTTAAGAATCAATAGTCTACATTAACTTAGTCTCAAGCTTTGTGTGGGTTGCCTAGTCAACCGTCGCCCTTTGGCCACCCCAGTAACGCGGAAAGTGCAAAAACAACTCCAAAAATTCTTAAACAACAACAAGCATGCAGGGGATAACACTCTTACAGCAGCAAGTGTCCATTTCCGTTTTTTGTTGGAAAAAGGCTAACGATATGCTAAATTGATATATATATAAATGGTGTAGAATTCATTTTGTGTCCATTTGTATTCTTTGTTTCTTCGTCAGGTGGACAGTCGTCAAGGCCAGAGCCCCAGGGGTCCATCCTAATCCAAGTCAGTGAGCTTTGCGCGATGACCACGTCACACCGGCGAGGTTCCACACCAACGGTGAACATCTTTGGCCGGAGCCTTGGAAACGTGAACCTTCAGAGTGATATTGCGTCCCCTTGGTTTGGTGGGCGCATATATCCCTAACAGGAGGTCCCGCTACATACACGACAGACCGACCGACCGACAGACAGACAGACAGGCAAACATTCTTTTCTTCCCCAACCTGGAACCCACTTTGGGGTCGGCAGGCCGCGAACTGGAGTTAGACATCAGTTCTAGAAACCACAGGCCCGGGGGTAAGGGCGGCGGCATGCCCTCGGCTAAAAGACCTTGCCATCACAATTAAGCAACGGGAAACACATATACATACACATACACATATCGGCGAACAGCATTTTCTTGATGTGACCAAGAGTCAGAAGATGGGAAGTGGGATGAAGTTCTAGACCCAGCCTGTCTCAAGCAGGCTGGGCACCTGGGAGCCAGTGCTTCCACGCTGCGGTGGGAACCTGAGTGGAATTTGGAGCAAGGCAAAAGCAGCGCTAGGTCGCTAGATTTTTAAAGCCTTTTGCACCTGGAGCGGGTCACACGAACTTCGAATCCGACAATTCAGTGGTCGTATTAACTTGTATCTCAGGTCTTCGCTTTTCCTACCACATGCAGCGGAAACCTGATGGTGGTCCTCGTGCGGAGCCCATGACGGGGGAGAACTTTTGGATTAGGCCTTTTTCTTGCTCATGGTGTTGGATTGGCACCAAGGTGATGTATTCATCCGAGGAGATGTGGAGAACTTATGTCAAAGGAGGTTTGAGCATAATGGCTGGATCAGATTGGATCTAGATTAGAACCACATCAGAAAGGAGCAACAACACGGGGGGCGTCGCCTGGGCTCATGAAACACTCAGAGGAGGGAGAAGCTGACAGCACTTTCCGGTCAAGAGAGGGCAGCATGCCAATTCGCAAGGTCTCTTCTATCAAGCCGGTGCAGCTTGTGATCAGCCGTGGCCTGAGCTGAATTGACCTGGCAGTCAGACAAGGACCTGGCAGGAGCAAGTTGGCAAGCTAATGCAAATTGCAGATTCCTTGTCCGCACTGTCCCACCTGCAGAGGATAGGCGGCTAGCAACATCCTTTAGCAAAAAGCCGTGTGTGTTGGACAGGCGCCCCCTTTGTGCATTTGGCCAGCCGAGTCTTTAATGACAGTCGGCAACCAAGAGATACAGCAACACGAAGAGAGTTTTTGAGGTACGCAGAGAAGCCCAGAGTCCTTTTTTGGGAAACATTCACTTGACATCACTTGACCGACTTTTGACTTCTGACTTGGGAAGTGGTGTGGGCCATGATGGGGCGCGAGGCTCTGAGAACATGCACTATGGATACCTGTTCGCAGGTGGGCTCGACTGCTCGATGCTTTTGGGCCCTTTCAGGCAAAAACCGGCTCGAAAACACCTCAGGTGTGAACATCTCGGGCATCGCATGCCATGTGAGCGTGGAAGAGGGTGCCGAGGCGTTTGGCGTGACCAATCACAGTTGGAACAATTTGCACATCGCGTGTTTGTTGATGTTTGTGATGTTTGTTGGATTCTTATGGACCTTTTGCGTCCGGCAACTGTGTTGGCCTTTCTGCTTGAAAGGGGTTGGTTCTTCCACCATCATCGCAGGCCCGTGTCCTAGCCTTTGTGTGTTGCACGGCAGTTGACAGCAGGGTGGCAGGGCATTCATTGGGTGTACCCATCCCACAACAAGGAGAGAGCGAGAGAGAGTGCACTGAAGATTTAAAAACTCAAATTGTTTATAGATGTTCAGCTTGCCATCACTCTATGTAGAGCTCCTCATTGGATTCAGAGAGGCCGTGCCATTGGATAGCTTGCTGACCGGAAGAGGGCGAGTTTGACACTTACTGCGGCCCAGTTTCAGAACCTACACATCGATCTTATTCTGAAACTCACTAAGTGTCTGTTGGGCTCTCCGGCTCAAAACCAGTAAAGTGCATCGCTACCAGTAACGAGTGCCCGGTGGTTTTTCCGGGTATTCCCAGAGCTCCGGAGCTCGAGCTCAGGCCTCGACCGGCTCCACGTTGGGACCTAAGGAGTTCCCAGCGAATGGTGCACCCACTGCCGCATGGTCAGTCAGGCCGTGCCTATTTCTTCGCCTGCTTGATTCTCCAGCCAGGGCGCCCAGTGGGCCGTTGGTCCGTTTTGCGCCTGGCGTTTGCGCCTGATGACCACCCACCCAGTGGGCCCAGGGAAGACAAAGACCATCAAAGACTCCATGGCTGCCGGACAATTCTCGTTGGCTTTTTCAAGCCAAGGACGCTGAGCCCTGCAGGATTGAGTACGGGCGGGAGGCGTGTGAACATGCTGAAGGAACATCCCATGAGAGTGATGAGCACCCTGGAAGAGGCCGATGTGACGTGGGATACCAAGAAGGAAGGATTCTTGATGCCTGCCCGGCTTTTCTTTGAAGGTCAAGTTCAGTGGGAAGAAGGGATTGCTCGATGTATTCACTTCTTTCTAACTTCTTACTGCTTATCTCGACCAATCTGTGCCCACAGTCTTCCGTGATTGGTATTGGCCAGGTGCCGTCTTGTCATGCCAAGACCGCCTCAGTTGGTAGGAAGCTCAACCCAGTGCTGAATTATGCTCAGACTCTACCAGGTAAATGTTCTGTGCCCCGAGCAACGCTGAGCCCGTTGCCCAACCTTGTGCCACTGTTCTGCCCTCATACCCCTACTCCCAAACATCCCCATCCGCACATTCCTGTAAGCTGAGACGGTGCCTTGGTGCCTCGCTCAGGTGCTGCTGATCACGTCGACGGTTTGCGTCCGGGGCTCACATCGGCGGTCGTGGGCAGTCGTGGGCGGTCAGGGTGCTTGTGCAAGCGCATCATTCATGTTGCTTGGTTTCAAGCAGGTGTGTAAATATTTTATGCCAATATAGTGCAGTAAGAGGAGCACAAAACAGCTGGGAACAGAGAGTACTTGAGCTATCTACTTCTGGTACCATTTCCGCTGCAAGATCTTGGATCTAGGATCAGCTCACATCTCCACCATAGTGTTTCAGCCTGAAAGCTTCCATGTCTTTGCTCACATGTTTGAGGTCTTGAATCGAACCCCAGCTGATTTGGAGATTCGCTTCTTGGCCCAGATCCTAGATCTGCCACCATTGGCACTTTTTGTTCAGTCGATCTGGCAGGTGGCGCTTGAAAAGGAGATGGAAAGAGAACCCAACCTCCACTTTTGCCGAGGACTTTATCGTTTTTTTCCTCCCATAACGGGCGATCTGTCTTCTCTCCCCACGCCATGGGTTTCGCTTGCCGGGTCTCCGGCTCCCGGGTCTCTCCCGGGGAGACCCGCCCAGGCGCCCAGCGCCGCCTCGAGGGAGGCCTTGCAGCCCGTGACCGCAGGATCCACACGTCTCAGCCGGAGTCTCAGTCTGAGTGGGGGAGATTGGGGGAGAGCAGATGACATGACTGGGAACAGGATGTGTACTGAGGTTTGGAAGATAGACACTCCGAAGACGATTCAGAGATGTTCAATCTGGAAGTCCACTCACTGTCACCAAGTGCTGTTGCTGAGGCATTGATGCGCGATTGTGCGGGCGCCAGGTTTGTTTTGTGAAGGGTTGTAGGTTCAAAATCATGCCACTCCAGATCTCGGTGACCATGTGGCTGATGAACTAAACCTTTGGGTGCCTGATGGCGGTTGTTTCATGGTATGTGCGGATCAGAACCCCTCCCCGGCAAGCTCCACATTGAAGGCTCAGCGAGGGCGTCGCAGCCCCAACAGCCACCGAGATGGCCGAGCCGCTGGCGGAGGCAAAGGAAAACGGGCGTTGGATGGTCAAGATGGCCCCGAAGTGTCCGGTTCTTATATGTTCTCGAAAAAAGAACTTTGCACCCTATATTCTCTCCTCCCCCTCTCCATCCCTATCAAGTTGAAATCACAGATATCTCCTTGTGATTCCTTATGAGCTGCTTGATGTTGCGCAAGGCTGAAAAGCCTGCGAGCCCCGAGGGCACCTTGCTTTTAGGCGCCCAAGCTCTTTTGCTGGCCTTCGCTCCACCAAAACTCTTGGAACCTGAGGGTGGGCCAAACACTCACAAGACTGGATACGATCCTAGGATGTGGGGGTTGCTCATCCAATGCTGCACTGTCTTGAGCACTGTTTTATGTGGGATTGCTTACTTTCGATGTTTGGGGTGGATCTGTTGCTGATTCGAGGTGCAGGACAGTTGCTCTCCGCGCCGCCCAAAGCACAGCTACGGATGGGGCAGGCGGTTCTGGCGGCGGCGTCATGTCGGAGCGCGGTGATGGGACCGAGGTCGAAGGCCATAGCAAAATGATGCAAAATGGGTTTTATTACTGAAGTGGTTCCTTTTTTAATTTTGGTTTCATGAGCTGCTGTCTGCAATAGCTGCAGGCTGTCCTACAGCTGCGCCCAGCGCTGACTGATGGAGGTGTCACATACACTTGGTGCCCTTCTTAGCTTGTCATTTTTCGGTACTTTATTTCTTTGGCAGTCCTCCATCCCCACCCGTCAGTTCCACACGTTTCCGTTCACGGAGCTTTATACCCGCCTGGCAGGTCGGAGCAGTTCTTTGCAGTACCAGCCGGGAACCGACCAAAAACGGGTGATTCGGACATCCAAGCGATAGCCAGATGAGAGTGCTTGCAATCAACACCACGCCATGGGAGAACAGAGTGCTTGCAATGGTCATGTGTTTCTTGGGGCAGGTCACGGGTATACCTTTTTTTTTACCGAGTCGCTTGGTCAAAGAGTCGCCAAGTTGCCGCCTAGCAGTGCGCTACAAGAGCACTCCACTCGTTCCAGAACCCACACGAGATTTGTTCGAATGGGACCTCCACCGCCAAACCGTGCTGAGGTGGCCAATCCGAACTCCAGCGATGTGACGGTCTGTGCCTCTCCGTTCGGTCCCCTACGGCTTTTTCCCCCACCCAGCGGGGTCAAGCACACCTTTCCCTTGAGGATCTGCAGGACCGGGCCTGGAAGGGTGATGTTCTGGACCAAAGGGGGGATGTTCTGGACCACGTGTCGCACTTGGAAGGTCCAAATGGGTGCGAGCTGCGTGGGTCCATAGGTAAGTCATGGTAAGTCCATAGGTCAGTCTCATCACTTGGTTTTGACATAGAGTGGGGGTTCGGTGCCGAACTTGAACCCTTGGCAGCCCCGCTGCTCGCAGGTCTGTTTGTTCTCTGCCTGGTTTTTTCGCTGGCTCGCTGTTGGTCGGACATGTCCCCGGTCAGCTGACCTGTGTTGCCCCAAACTCGCTGTCAGGCCCGCCGACATGCAGGAGGCCGGGACCGCCTTAGATGACCGCCACTATCCGCCACTGGTGCCGGGACGAGTTGACCGCATGTTAATCTAGAGAGCCTCCATTCCATCGATGTGCGAGAAGCATGTTCTTTGGGGATCTGGGATGCTGTCTTTGAGACACGCCTGCTTCCATCATTTAGGGCGCCTCACTGGCCTCACTGTTCTTTTTTTTTGGTGTCACATTTTCTCAACGCCAAGGTGTTGCCGAAGAACTGGCTCTATTTGAGAACCAGTTGTGGAACCAATCCTCAGCAGGGCTGGAGCCACGTGGAGGCGGTTGTGTGCGTTTTGCGTGAGCAGTGGCATGGTTGAGCAGTGATGTCACATCCAAGACAGGGAAAATAACACGGGGAAACAGGTGCAGGCTCCGTTCACGGTGGTCAATGCACTCCCATGCGATATACTTTGCCAGTCCTGAGCTTGGAAAGCAAAGGTGCGGAGTTCACGGACAACTCACCCAGCTGACTCCTTGCTAGTCAGCTAGTCCCAAAACTAGGCTTCTGGGAATGGAGGACCAATAAACGTATAAAAGGAGTTCGAATCACACTCGCTTGATCATGAGTGTAGTGTAGGGTGTTTGTCTATCAAGTGAGCTCCATGCTTCCTCCTGACCTTGTTGCCTAAGGTTCAACCCACGAGTGAATCGAAGAAAGATGGGCAAGGAGCCAAATAGAACGGAAGATTGTGCTCACTTGTGGTCATGGATTGTTTTGTCAAGCCAGGATATGTTTTCAGAAGGTCTTTTTCTGAGTTGCTCAGCCAGGAGAGGGAACGACTGCCGGTTGAGTCAGCTGCTAAGAAACACAAGTGATGCACCCTGCACTGTAATGATTCATGGGTGGTTTCCTTATATAAAGCAAAGTGAGACCAGGTGTGGAAGCAACGTTGATTTGGCGGTGGACAATGGCTTCGGGGGCGAGGCGCGTTCGATCTGCCCACGATGGGAGGTCCAGATATACGCTCCTTGTGACTCTTGCACCAGTTGCGATTGGAGCGACCCGTCTAGAGATCAGCGGAATGGACAGTCCAGGTAGTGGTACCCACAAATGGCCAAGCGGAAGTGATGCCAATCAGCCTGCAGCTTAGAGATGTCCATTTATGTTTAGGCTTTCAGTTCGCTAGCTCGCAAGCAGCTTCGGAGATGTCAAAGACTTTCATGCTATGTCCTTCTATGTGCTTTCGGGTTTTCATTCGCCAGGATTGGATGAGGAAGGTTGCTTCAGGCATTGCCTTGTGTTTTGTGTGTCCCTTTTTAAGCGGTCGTTGCTGGTCCCTCATCACTCTGTGAGGTGGGTTTGCAATGGCAAAGGAGGGCGCACCAGACCGCGTTGGCAAAGTCATAGTCTCAGATAGTGCTAGAGTGGCCACTGGCCACTGGCATTCAGCTCCAGCGAAGTGCATCCCAGCATATCCCAACTGTACAACTAATACACTGCCAGCATATATATATATATACATTTGTTGCAAACAAAATACATTTATGTGTATTGTATGTGTACTTTAAATGTATATGTATATATATATAGATCGATCTGGACTCATATTGGGTGGAAGGCCAGAAGATTGCACCCCTTTCCGAAGGGAAGTTGCATTTCCCCGCTGCGCCTTCTGCCCAGATCTCAACTCGCTCATCGTCGTGGTGAATGCAAAGCCTCGATCTGAGTTTGTCGATCGATGTGCTTGGCATGGAAATTCGCCGATCGAACTTAGGCGGGGAGAAGTGGAATGGCATTGCGTGGAAGCCAGCATGGGTACTGCTCCAAGAGATTCCCAAAGAAGTTTTTGAGGAGAGCGGGACGCTATGCGGGTACTAAAAAAGGGGTTTCAAGAACACTGGAAAACACACACCCATATAACGTCCTTTTCTGTTTTTGAGGATGAAAGTTGCAGAGCTGGTAAGAGGGAAAAGGTGAGTCCATAAGTTTTGCCAAAAGCCCTTGACTAAGCTGGATCTAAGGGTCTGAAGATGTCCAGGCTGTAGATCACTTCATTTGAACACATCTCGATTGCATACATATCATCAACATAGAGAAGACACATACCATAATTGATCGACTGATAGATTTGATGGACATATTGATAGATCGACCTCATAGATCGAACGCATAGACATGTAAACATCAAGCAGATGCATAAACTGCATATTATATAAACAAACAGATTTTTGTTTTCGTGGCTTCTTCTGAGCATCACGGAAGCCGCCCAGCTTTTAAATTAAGGCACGCGCAGTGATGCGCCGCAGCTGCGAATTGCGCCACAGTGTCGGACCCAAGCTTCAGGCTGTGCAACAGGGAACCTCCATGACCAGTTCCAAGAAAGAGAGGGAGAGAGGCACACAGAGAGAGGGCCTGGCCACGGACTCAAACAGTAGCCCGGAAAAAAAGAAACAGTGCTTGTGGTTTGCCGGCCCTGTCTGAGGAGTTTGCTCCCATGCTTCGAGTGTGTGGCGGAGGACTGTGTGTTTCGAGTGGGACAACAATTCATTGGGCGAGAGCTTCCAAGTTCGCATCTGCAGGACCTCTCAGTGTCCTTCGCAGTTCGTGACACACAAGGGCACGCGAGTTCATGGTGCGGACCGGTCACTGGGTCGTCACGTCAATAGCGCCGTCTGGACACCAGTCTTTGCAGTGGATTGCTTGGGAATTTCGCCACACCACGCGCATGGTTTTTTAGAAGTCTAGTGAGTCTAATTGTCTAATGATGTCTGTTTAGTGTGTCTCAAGACCATTGGTGTGTCCCAAACCCAAGTCTTGCCGCTCTTGTAGTCCAATTTCCCCCGAGAAGATCTAATTACAAATGTGGATGTATTTCAACAGGGAGGCCCCCAACCAATGGGTTTTGGTCTATTTTTCCCTTCTTCTATATAGGGGGTGTTTGGGAGGTCTTCTTATTAATACACGCCCATGTCTACAAGCGTCTTTCCACAGCCTCGCGAGCCAGGTCCCTACCTCTTCCAGCTGTGTCGGGTCGGGGGTCCAGCGAAACGGTGCGGTGCCTGAGTGGCGGGGACGGGAGTTCGTTCCGCCGTTGGTGAGCACTTGGTGAGGACGATTCGGAGCTGGTCCCCCGAATCGCCCCATCATTTTGGACACTTTTTGCCCGAAAGCGCCAGGTTTTGGGTTAGCCTCTTCCCACTGGGTTAGCCTCTTTGGTCTCGAGATGTCTTGAGGTGCAGCTTGACTTCAGAGGCATGTTGGGGCCTCAGTGCGTGCTGACGCATTGTATCAGATCAAGAAGAGTCTCAGAGAGCAGGGTTTAGACAAAATTTGGGCTAGACCTAGACCATCAAGTCCAAGCCTACATCAGGAGGAAGCCTTTTAAGCGTCACCTGGACAGGACACGTTTTGAACGATTGGACAGGTACATCAACTTGAACGCCATGCGTAGTGGAAGGGAGCTCATCGCAGGGACCTTAGGCCCTTTTAAGTCTCGATCCAGTGGTTGGACCGGCCCCCAACCACCCCAATCCTGAATGTTTTTCTTTGTCCTACTAGTCCTACTTGTTTCCACCACTCTACAGCTTGCACCGCTTCGACAATGCTTCCACATGTAGTTTATATATCTAGATGTCTTTTCAATGACACGTTGCAGTCTAGATGATCTTCATGCTGCTGCTGTGTGCGGGCTGATGGAGACAACTTGCTTGTTGCTGCACTGCCTGAGGTCTACACACGCTGGTGGTTTGTCAATTCCACAGGCCGGCCAATGTGGTCCAGTTTTACCGCCCATTTTGTCCATCAGAGGACAAAGGCAGGCGAACGGCGGAGATTGTCCCCGCTAACTGCCACCGGTAACTGACGGCCGGCGAACGAATGCAACAAAAGAAACAGTGTTTGCTCTTTGTGGATTCTCCGTGAATTCTTCATGATACACATGGAATGGTGTGGATTGGTCTCAGGTCTCATGAGGGGCCTCATCAGTCGCGGTTGGGTGTTTATGGGACATCGACTGAGTGGACTTCCATTGATTGCGGGGATCTCTGGACTCTACTAAGACACACCCCGAATGGAAACTACCCTTCGCCCACTCAGAGACTGCGCGGGTCCAGAGACATGCGGAAACTGAAGGGTTCTTGCAGGTGAGGCCAGATAGTGTGCACCGCCATGGACCCTTCTATATCCTTGTATGCCTCAAAAGCCAAATGAATCCAAATGATCAAACTGAAACCAGTTACAGTAATTAGATCTTACCATGCCAGGGCGCTCAGTCATTGTGACACGCAGGTTTGAGTGATTTGCGGCTTCAGCAGCCGGGTGGACCAGGGCCTTTGCATCCAGTGGCATCATTCAGCAGCAAGGCAGGCTCTCAAAAGCAGTTGGATTGCAGCTGGTGGTCAGAAGTGAATTGTATGTACCTACGGGCATGGACATGAATATCATGAATCCTGCAAGGGTTGCAACGCTTCCAGCTAGAGCAGGACTACGAGAACCCGTGTGGAAAGCAAAACGCGTCGCACCGTCGCATGTCGCATTTGTCTTGGTGGACTTCACCGGCGGACGGCGACGGAAGGTGTCCATCCTGCCGGAGATTCAGAACGATGCGGGCGATGGCGTCGCATACCTCTCCTTGCGATCACATGCACCTTTGGAGGCAGCTTGTCTGGCCGTCTGGCCAGAGAAATCCTCCGCAATGGGACCAAGTCCTTCCATTCGTAAGGCTCCACGGTGTTCGGGTTTGCAAGGAAGCCGAATGCTACAGACAGCATTTGTGAGGCTTTTGACATCTTTTGACCCCAGGCCGTGCCAAGTTGCGTAACCAAAAACTTCATCAACAACTGGACATGCAATCGGCTGCTGTCGAACAAGAGGAACCCATTTTTGGAGCTCACCGTTTCTCTATAACATATTATTCTCTATATATAGTATTATATATACCATTTCTTCTCTGTAACTCTTTCAGAATCCCAGTTCTGTAAGGCCCAAGTGGTTGTGAGCCCCGCTGCCAGGTCATCGTTCCAGATGTGCGCACCCTACGCCATCATACCTCCGCTGATGACATGGCATTACAGTTTTGAGAATTCGGGTGACCAAGAGGAAGGGCGCTTTGTAGCCTGCCCTTGCTGGGCAGGTGGACTGGAGAAAAGAACTAAACAGCACCACCGAAACCACCTTTTGGGGAACTCTTAGTGCAATGGATGTTTTGGGTGTTGCATGGTGGCATTTCAATGCATTTCATTCGTCCGTTCGCTTTCGTGTCCAAGTCCCTGCAGGCTGCTCGGATCTGCTCGCTGCTCTCGGCGTCGCGTCGATCAACCGAGGTTGGGGGTGCTACGAGCGTGGACTTGACGTCGGAGGCTGAGAGGTCATGGGTGGTGAGAGCGGAGGGTCGTGTGGGAAGCACCCGCGCGTTGTTGGGTGGATGGGGTGGCAGGCGGGTCCTCAAAATCAATGACACCAATGTGCTGTGGCAAATCTGTTCTTAGCGACCTCCAATTTCAATCCCTTCTTGCCTTCTTGGGACAATTTCTGAGGCCGCTCCATCCCTGCTGCCTACGGACTGAAACGGTGGCATTGGTCGAGGTGGGGGATTGAAGAGGATTTTACCCATGTTGTCCCAAATGTGTTTGATGTTATATACATTTGCATCATTTGCCAGGGAATTGATGAATGTGCACCCTCTCTTCGTACCCTCACTGAATTGTGCTCATACCGCAGCTCATGCCACAGGCCATTCGGGGGGTTCCAAGCTGCTTGGTGAGCTTGGTCCCGGCCATGATGCGCTTTGGCACGAAGAGTTGGTCACAAAACGACAGGGTTGTGCTAAAACAGGCTATTGTAGTGAGCCTGTTGCTGATGAGGCTATTGTACCTGCAGCCAGCCCAATCATCCTTATACCCTCCAGGTGTTTCACCTATGGGAGTGTGTAGGAAAGAGGTGGCCAAGCAATAGCAGCAGGCAAAGTACTGCAGGGCCGAAGTTTGTACTGGTGGAAGCCATTGATAGGCAATGCCCGATACAGATACAGTATACGCGCTTTGGACTCACACATGATAATGACACTGCACCTTTTGTGCGTTATGATGGTACCTTCCAGGCTTTTCAACCACACGGAGCACATGGAGGCGAGAGTTACGAGGGTGAGCGAGGCATGCTGTAGCAAGCAGCGAGGCTCCAAATATTCAAGTGAAGGGATGGAGGTTGCCCAGTGGAACAGAAGTAGGGCTCTGATACAAGTGAGAGACTTTCGATGACTTTCGGGCGAGCAATGCGAGAAGTGATATGTCAGTCCAAACTCATAGATCTATGACTGCAACTCCTCGGCCTCGCTGTCCGCGGCTCACGGCTGAAAGCCACTTGGGGCAACGGGTTTCACGAACAACGCGAGACATTGATGATCGGATGATATCGAATGAGCCATGCCAAGCAAGAATTCAAGCATTCTGTCGACCGATATTGGAGCCATGAAGTTTGTACCCTGTGTGATCGTCACCTGGGGGGCCCTCTTCGCACAGGGTGCAGATATCCACGCGGCTGTTCGGGCGAATGACCCAGCTGCAATTCAAGCAGCTCTGGATGAGGGTGAGGACATCAACAAGATCGGCCAGGGAGGGCAAACCCCCTTAATGCACGGAGTGCTCACTGGAAACCCTGAGTCTGTGAAGTTCCTCCTGGACGCCAAAGCGGATGCTTCGATCCCGGAGAAGGATGGCTACACTCCGATGCACGGCGCTGGTTTCCAAGGCCGCTCGCAGATCGCGCGGTTGTTGGTCGCACATGGCTTAGACCCCCGTGACCGGCACACGGATGGCTACACGCCGATCCATCGAGCGTGTTGGGGCAACGAGCAGCGCCATGCAGATACGGTGCGAGCCTTTCTTAAAGCAGGCGTTCCCTTTGACGAACTGTCAGACAGTGGGTCGCTTGCCTGAACCAACGGTGGATGCTTATATTATATATTGCCCTACTGGTTATGAGATTTTTTTCTTTCAAAGCTTTGAGGCTGGACACTCTATTGACTCTATTGTGTCTATGTGAAAGCCCCACTTAACGAGGTTCATGACTCATGACGTTCCTTGTTCCCAGGACTTACAGTAGCCTAAACTTTGCCAGGCAGAGCTGCATGGACATGACTGGAAATGAAGCGACCATGAAGTTGCTCAAGAAGCGAGCGGAGAAGGCAAAGAAGAATCCTTCTGATTCTGAAGCTTGCAGGAGGTGTCTTTTTTTTTGTTAATTTTGTCGTGGTGCTTTGGTGGTGCATATTCTTTTTTGTCCTTTGTTCCGTTCACTTTGGCTGGTGGCTGGCTGTGGCTGGTTGCACTTTGGGCTGGTTACAGCTGGTTACTGCTGGTGGGCTGGGTTTTTGTTGGGTTCTTTTTGAGCATGTTGTGGTGAGTGAACCGAACCCCCTTGAAATCCTTGTGTGCAATGTCACTTAGGAGCTCTGATGGGCCAGAAATCGCTGCGGGTGACCATGTGGGTGATTGCATCGGAGTGGGACCGAAGGTAGGGACCGTAGGGACGACCGATTCTGATGCGATGCGAAGCCGCTCAGCCTGTGAAGGTTGTCACGTGACTCATACAGTTTTGAGCTCTCCATTGCTGAACGCGCATGTCTGAGCCATGCTCAATGCCCGCACATATTTGTTGTGTGTGGATTACCTGGAACAAAAGGCTCACGCATGCTCACGCCTGCTCACGCCTGCTCACGTTGGCGGTGGAACAGAAAAAGCTTGGACTTGGGCGGCACTAAAGGCACTGTCGGCATACTTTGTGGTGATGACCTGTCTACCTTCAGTAGTGCAGGTGTTCTTTAAGCAGTGCCAGTGCCCGTCAGACACTGCCGCCGGATGCCCAGACTAGTTGTTTTGGTTCAGAGTTGACGAGATGTTCTGAGTCGTGAGACGAAGCACGGAAGAACCAGCCTGGTAAAAGCAAGAGCTTTTAGCCAGATGTCCAGATCCCCAACACCTTGTTGACCTCGTTGCAGGTCTTGGTGCCACCGAACTCCAGCCGCCCGTTCTGGTGGCTCGCCACGCAGGATCAGCAGGTGCAGGCGGGCTGGATGTGAGGCCATGCAATTGGTGATAGCTTACACCCTCGGAAACTAACATGGACCCGGATCGAATGGGCGGGACCCTGAAAGACTGTTTCCTTCACAAACCAGTGATTCGCAAGGGTCCATGACGGTCCATGTTCTTTTCGGGCTCCGCAGGTGGCGGCGCGAATGGTGGGTGACAACAGGACGAAGCTCTCATGGCTGGAGACTGAGACATACGGTGATCCATAGTTGTGGGGTCCTGTCCTGTGAGCAAACGTGCGTGAGTCAGGAGATGGTCAGAATGTCAGATGCATTGCCTTTTTGGGATAATCAGAGCCCAAGACATGGTTGGGCACTCACTCGGCCAGAATTTTTCCCTTTGGGACATCGCGGACTTTGATTTAGAAGATAATCGTCACGGGTACCACTCCCCCATCACACCAGCACAAGACCAGAATGTAATGCGCAAAAAAAGGGTTTGGGGTTTAGGGTTTAGGGTGCCCATCTCCCCACCAGAAGGTCGGTCCCAAGGCCACACCACACCCTCCCAACCGAGGGTCCGTTCCGCACCCGTTCACCGTTGAGGTGCCACGCCTTTGAGCTCAAAGAGTCGAAGATAGGCGCGCGCTCCGCCAGCGCGGGTCGCTCCGGCGCTCGCTCCCCGCGCCCGGGTCGGGCAGGTGCTTATCCGGTGATCCTGAAATGCGGAACGCCCGGGAGCCTGAAAGAGCACAGTTCTTGGACAGACTCCCAAGCCGACGTCGCATTTGCTTCAACATCGCTGTTGGGCAGGTTGTGCTTAGGCTTGCAGCGGCTTGTGCATTCACCACTCGCTAGATTGGGACGGCCCCACATGTTGTTCAATTCAGATTGAAGTCTTTACTAGGCGTTCAGTTTGAGGGCGGCTTTGGAATTTCTCGCTTGTGGCTGCTTCAGCGAATGGGCCAAGCGTGGCACATGTGCCACATTGTATTGCCCGTTTGATAATGGATCATCCTTTTCTAGACCCGTACAAGTTCAACCGCGAAATATGATAATTTTTATATATTCTTGATGTAATTGAGTTTGGCCCAGGCAAAAGACGCCAGGAAATAAACCGCCATCGTTGGTCCAGGAATCATCGTTGTCCAAAAGATCAGGACATGAGCATTTTATGAAATCAAATCTCGCACTGCAAGCTTACTGATATAAATGTACATATATATATATATATATTTATACGGTATATATATCTATATATACACATTGGTTCGACTCAAGAAAGGTGTTCATGCTGGGTTAGCCCCCCACCCAGCAACAGTCCAAAGAATTGCTTGAAACAGTCATCACCACCTTTGGTAGAGACCCCTATATATTACCCCCACTTCAACCAACATCTTGGAATCTTGGGTGGACATGGTCCAGGGTTTCATGGAAGATGTCCACCCTGTTTGACGACCGGAAGCCTTGGAACGTCCGCGACCACCGTGAAGGTCTGCGACGTCCGCGGGTCTGTACGCCCACCGAGAGCTCCTATGCGTGTGCATCGACTACGATGCGGCCAGCCTGGCAGTGTGTGGCTCAGGGGGGTTGGCAGCCTACCAAGGGCCTACCGTAGCCTACGCCTAGGGTAGGAGACGGTACGGATATTGAAATGGCATCCGTAAGACGCCAAAAGGGCCACAACCACAAAGCGTACAAGCCGTTTCTGAACCCCACCAAACGTGGGCTTGAAGTGAGACAGATCACAAAACCGGCACAGCTATATTATACAATCATGTTTCAGAATGTGGGCGCAACGATGCCCTGCCAAAATTTTCAAGAATGATCCAACAGTTGGTCTTCACTGCCTTCAAGTGTATGGCTTGACGATGTTCGATGGAGACTTTGAAACTTATTTTGATGCCGGAGCGGCAATTCTTGGGGAAGGAGCATTGTGCGGCTAGTGGAGCCTGGACATTGTCACGGATTTTGCAATTTTTCTCAAGTCACAGGCACAGAAAACCACACCACTTCCAGGTGCAGCGCGTTGACGCTTTCCCCTTGCCGCTCACCGGTCCACACTCTCAATGCCATGGCCGCTCACACGCCTGTTGCGAGCGGCCAGCGGTCGAGCCCTCGAGATCTTCGCAAGTGGACCAGTGCGATCAGCACAGCTTCGCAATCGCGCAAGTGGCAAAAGGGGTTGCTTGGATGTGGCAATTTGAACCTCAAAAAACATGGTCTAGAGTCTACGGTGAGTCATGTTTGTTTGTCATGTTGTTTTGTACATGGTTTGGTCAAGATCAAGCCCTGACTTTCAGGGAGCTGTCCATGTTTCCACACATAATGTTGACATTGAGTTATATATATATATTGTAAGGGCTCCGCCCGGGTGCCGCCGACTCCTTTTCATCTCGAGGGTTTGGCGGTTGAACCTTGACAACTTCCTGGGATTCAACAGCGAGACTTGGATGGGCTTCACACCAATGCTGGCATTCAACCAGCTGCCGAGAAGAGGGCCAGGCTGCGGTGAGGCTCTGGGGAGCGTTTGAAGCCGAGCCAAAATGCCTAACGTTGCCTTCGGAAGCCCATAAGAAGAGAGGAGG